AAAATCAAAACTAATTTGCAAAATAATAGGAGAAAAATTCTATAAATTACATTATTCATCCCTCTCGTTATTTCTATATGTAGATATTATGTGTATAAAGGGCAGAGACTACTGGCGGATTATATGCTGTACCAGGTGTAGCCCAATAATGGTTAAAAGGGGAAAAACGATTTTCCTCTCAGCGAGCTTTTATTATCGTTTTGAATTCGTTACGCTAATATTATTTAATGCTTTTTACCGTTAAAAATCAAGAGCATGTTGATAGATTTGTAGAAAAATATTTATTTTCTCTCTAATTCGAGAGCTAACTGGTCTTTGAGATGAAAATCGATACTAGAATCATCATCAAAGTGAATGATATGTGATGAAAAAAAAAGAACATGTTGAGTTAAATAAACAAAAAAAAATATTTCAACTTAATGTACTTAAACTCTCTATCAGCTTTTCACCCTGTTTCAAGGCCTACAGAAAATTGATGCATCATGCCATGTAAGTATATTCCGACACTCACATAAAGCGTGTGTACTCGCATCATATGGCTTCTATTGTTGAGGTGTTCAGGTCGCTTCACCAAGTCTGCAGGCACTCGCTCTATGTTAAATGGATTACGTGACATATCTTCTGTTATAGAAACGAAAGAGAGATGGATAAAATGAAGAAGAACCAAGTTGAAAGCTGTATAGAATATGTGTTGTAGCGCACTAACTTAATTTGATCTGTTCAGGGCGTGGCTTTCATCGAAGTGGTTAATTGATCGAGTTACATGCTTTGTCTGGAACAATAATGACTTTCTATCTACGCAACATGCACTTGGACTTTCATTACAACCGATTCAAGATTTAATTTGCAACTAAGACTAAATAAATTCCATTGACACCCCATGTCAACTTCAGTCATTTATTACTTGCCTCGCCACCATCACATGGACAATCAAAGTTTCCTCAAAGTTCATAAATGGAGATCCTTGGGGGAAATTTTGCGACCCTGCAGAATCATTTCATTAACTTGTTCTATATTGGAATTCGTGCGTGGAGTATTACGTGGAATCATGTCAGTTTGACGTTAAAAATAAATTCATTACAGAAGTTTTTTATCGTAATAAAAATTTTCTTTCATTAACTAAAGAAGGATAAAAATACATTTAATTATTTTAATTAAAAATACACTACATAATAATTCAATTCTTGGATACATTTTTAAAATAAGTCTCCAGCAATTTTTTGAATAAAATTAGGGCTGATTAATTTATGTAAATACTGGTGATTTGAAAGTTAATTGATAATGATGCTAAGGGAATTAGTACTATTAACTATTTTTTGTAACAAAAAATAATTGATTAAAAAATGGCCAACGACAGGCAAAGGATGATTAAAATCCAAAAAAATGTGCAAACGTTGTTCCACCTTCTGACGAGAAATAACTATAAAGCGATTTGAGGTTTACTTAAATAAAAGTACAAGAAATTACCTCTGAGGAGTACCGACATGAATAAACGACTCGGTCATTATCCAACGATCAAAGTAATGTGTTGAAGGGTCGCCTGGCGCGTTTCTAATTAAGGAATTAACATCGTGAATTACAGCTACGTGGTGAAATGGATTGTAGATAGCTCAAGAGAAAGTCATGATTATTACAGAACTTATCTTGTACTATATTATCTTTAATGAAATAATTTGCATAATTCTGTATCTATAAAGATAGTGTGTACACGATATTTATATGCAGATAGATGTATTTATAGTGAATAATAATTACCTACTTTCTTATCACTATATTTAAACAATTTGCGAAAAAAAAACATCTTGTAAGTATCGTTAAAAGTATTTACCCTAAATAAATGAAGTCATCTATCATGATTTTTATGCTGCCATGAGAAAAGTATTTTTTCAAATAAATTAGAAAAGTTTTGAGTAATATAGTTGTGACTAAGGTGAAAGTTGAAAATTTATTGCGAGTCTGTTACTGCAGTAAGGGTAAAATACCTTACGGGAGTTAATTCAACTACTAAATGAACCAATTTGTCCATGATATTCCGCAGCCAAGAGATAAATTTTACCTAGGAAAATTAAAAAATGAAGAAAATATATGCATCCTTTCTCAAGTTTCTTACCATTTTTTAAACTTCTTTCCCCTCCTTACACTTTTTGAACTTTATTGTCTTCATTGGATTCTCACTAAATCCTGTGGTAAACCACAGCAAAGGATCCGCCGATGTTAGCGTTTAATTAATTATTCTGCAAGCATCGTACAAGTCAAAATTAAAATTGGTTCATTAAATGAAGCTGCACGGAATTTTTCTTTCGATTTCATTAAATTACATCTCTTCATTTTATTCTTTATTTTCATGTCTGCTAATGTGTGCGGCTCATTTTTAATATTATGACCGTTATATATGTAATTACTTCGTGGTACAAAGGTCATTAAACGATTTTTAAATTTGTTGACTCAATACTAATAATTCCTGAGGATTATAGCCTTGGCAAGTATTTACTTTCGTCTTTAAAAAGTAAAGTACATTAAACCGTTTTTGATAAATACTACTAAAACAATATTTTCTTGATAAACATGATATTAATTAAAATTTTTATTTTCCAGCTGGAATATTATATAAAAATATCTTCAGCATTTGATTACAATCCTAGTATTTTTAATCCTCTGATTTATCTATTTTAAATTAAAATGTTTCCAACTGGATCCAAAGTTTCTGAATTTTTTATTTACTTTTGGTAGTTTTTAATTCCACGAAGATTATCAAGTATTTTTTTTTTCTAAAGAAAAAAAAGCATCTCATGTAATTCATTGTCCATTAAAATGCAGTAAAATCTTTGAAGTGAATAAAATATTTTATCAAGTGAATTTACATTTGCTAACAATGTTACGATACCTTTTCTCCTGAATAGTCGTGAAATGGTGACAAAAGTATATCTCGAGTTAGTAGTCTAATAAATCGTAGAACAAAAACAAGCAAAAAATGTTAATTGTGTTTTACTTAAAAGACAAAATTTTCAGATGGCTATCATGGTTGAGCGAGCGCGACAAGTTCTTTACATCTCCCAAAAGTTGTTTTAGTCGCGTAGTAAACGAACCGTGCTAAAAGAATGCCAAGTTCTACTGTGAAGGTGTCGCGACAACGGACATTATCACTACGAGCCGTGATAAAGCGCATAACAAACAGTGAATTAAAATACTAACGACTTGTTCTAGAACTTGAAATAAACGATACAGAGTGCTAATATATGTAATCTTCTCCCATTTTCTCAGTAGTGTGAATAATTATTGAGGTTTAAATTAGATATATTGCTGTATATATTAAAGAATTTAAAAGAGAAAAAAGACTGTCGAAAAATATATGAGTGTGATGACAGCAAGGTGGGATGTGTAATGGCTAGGGTCAAAATACATATGCTCTTTCCCTGATGATTATAAAGTATGCCTATTCATTTCAACACTTTAACAATTATCGAGTCATTATTCTTCTAATTTCTCCACTGATGGCTAAGTAATTTTTACTGATTTTACAAATTATTTTAAAAGTTCATAGCCCTCCCATGCTGATAACTCATTTTTCTCTTTTCATTTTCAAATGATTGGTTCAAGAAAAATTGTATCTTCACAAAAGTATTTCAGAAGAGAAGACATCTTTATTCAGTGCACCTGTCCACCATTGTTTCGAAAACACTAAAAATGATTTTGACATTAAGGGGAACATGAAAAGAAAAAATACCAACTAGATATCCATATAGGAAAACGGAATCTAGAAATGATGTAGAGACTTGAGCAGCAAAAAGCTCATGACAAAACAAAAACGATGAAGGAAATGGAGGGATGTGTGATAGGATGTGTATTATGGAGGTGAGAAATCTGAGGGCAAACTTTAGCTTGAGTCTCTGGGGGTCGTCACAGCTGAGAGACTAAGTTATGAATAAAAGAGCAAAGACGAAGAAAGAAAAAAGAATGAATGTTCGATGGGAAGAAAAGTGAAGTCTCGATTGACGATCGATCATCGATCTTGTTGGTAAAAATAGTAATCATGAGTGAACGATCAAACATATCCTGAGGCATAGAATGTGCGGCTTATGGACTAATAACAGGTACGAAAACTCACGACTTCTTCCAGTGGCTATTTGTTGAAGCTTTATTTATATTGTTGATAATAATCGAGACATCTGCATCATGATCCTGATTGAGATATTTCACTTGAGTGTATTTTATCTTCTAACAAATTATTGTGGACCTAAACAAGTGGCCAATTATCTCGTTAAGTCTACATGTTGTTTCATTTTTATTTTTTACTCCAAACATGTTAACATCAATTTGGAAGTTCAGCCAAATGATGTTGGAAATAAAAAAGTCAATTTTTGGCTACCTGTTTCTCTATACACGACATATCTTGGACCAAAATCTTTGTGTAACATCTAATAAGATAGTAGTTTTAGACTAAACCAACTACATCTATAAACATATGTAGCAGACCTATACTACACATCAAGGTCCATTCCAGCAAACCTCACGAGAACGACCTTTTTCCACGATTATACTTCTGGGACAGAAAAAAACTGCAGACACGAAAGTGGCCCGTTTACCTTTCACATCGTTATTCGATGCGCAGAGAAAAAAATGTGAGAATAAAAAAAGTCGACTAACGAAAACGTGACATCGATGATACTTGAACAGAGAACTACTACACTTCAGCTCTTTTAGTCCCTCGCGTAGTAGTACTGCTAGGAATAAGTTCAATTCTTCAGAAGAATAAGCCCTACTTAGCGACTATATAGGTGTAGAGATTGCTTTTGTTACCTAACGACATTGCTATGTATTCCAATATACTACCAACTCTTACTAAGAGTCTGCTGCGTTTTTTGCGTTTAAATGTAAAGGCTTGATGGAAAACAAAAGATAAAAAGTAGACTCTCATACAGCAAGAGTTCACTGATGTACTCAGGAACTTAACAGACGAAAATGGAATTTTTATCAATGATATTCCTTTTATTGTGTTTCAGCGTGTAACTGCAATCTTCATGCTCGCAAATGCCGCTTCAGTGTGGAGCTGTACAAATTGTCAGGACGTGTGAGTGGAGGTGTTTGTTTGCTGTGTCGACACTTCACTGCAGGAAGACATTGCCATTATTGTCGTGAAGGTTACTACAGGGATCCAACCAAACCGATTACTCATCGTAAGGCTTGCAAACGTAAGTAATCATAATCATGCTAATTTAATTTGAGATTTAATTATATAACAAGTCACATTGTGAGGAATAATTGATGTCGAAGAAAAAAGTACTGAAGAGTTGGTAGATATCTTGTTTCAGATCAACAAGTATAAACACTAGATTATGGATTTGTTGATCAAATAATATTTGATATTTTTTAATTAATTTTTTTGCTTTTAACCTAACGAAACTACTGTAAATAAATTAATTTAAAGTTTGGTAGTTGCAGACAGGTGTATAAAGTTGTTTCTTAATTTAGAAATTACAGAAATTTTGTGCTTCTGTATTTTATTCGTCAGAATAGTTCTCAATATTTCATCCTCGAAATTTCTCTTCGAATGAACACATTTGTAAATTGGTTAACCACAATGAGAATTTGGAGTATCCACGAAATGCATAGTTCGAATAACAGTTACAAATCTCTAGAATGTTTTATATATTTGAAAATTAGTTTTTGGAGATAGGGTTTCAACAGTTAAAATATATTTGCAATTAATTCGCATTTAATTGATGGATAAATTTGATTCAAAAAAAATTTTCCAGCTCATGAATTAGAGTAATTGACTTTATCATTGATAAAATATAATGATAACTAATTGATAAAATATTGGAATTTAAATAGCTGATGAATAAATTCATGATTTAGTGGATTGAGAAAAAAAAAACTTTTCCAATAAACGTACCAATGGTGATAGAAAGTCAACCAAGCAAGAAACTCTGTTATTTTCTATTCCACTAGAGTATTTCAGAATATCCTATTCTAATACCAAGATGACTATACAACCCTCTATCTAAAGTACCACTCGGCTACAGTAGTTACATTTGTCGTTACGTTTCTCTTTTAGTAAGATCAAAAAATTTCCCAGTAAAAGCCACAGTTATCTGTCTCTACCATCACCAACTTTAACAATTCAGACGCATTAGAATGTAGTTTCATTTTAACGATATTTTTATATTCTACTCTCACTTTGTGTTATGTTTCTGAAAAAATTGAAGCAAAAATTTGTTGAAAGTTGATGACTTTACTGCAAAAAACATCTCATTATATTTTTTTAAACTTTGGGTTAAGTTTCTAAAAGTAAATCCATTCTGAATAGATGAAGCTGTTGAAGAAGCCATAGTGAAAATTAGGTATCAATAAAGCTGAGCTTCCAGAGGCCAAAGAAAAAAGTAGGGATTTTTTCAATCATTATCAAGTAATTATTGATTTTCTTGTTCACGTTTCAAAACATTTCCAACCATCTTTCCCAATTACTCTCATAATCACTGTTAAAGGAAAATAATCCCTTAAAAAAACAGAAAAGAAAGGTTTTCATTGCACAAAATTTCCTTAATCAAAGATAATTAATTTTACGATGAATATTGATGAGTTAATAAAAGCTTGAGACATCGTAAAATATTTTTTAACTCCTCATTTATTTATTTTCATAATTAATTTTATAAATTATAGGATGAAGGTTGTTAATTATCAACGCTTGAAATTAATCAACAGATTCACTTGTTTGTTAATAAAAATCCAGTACTTTCATTCAAGAATATTCATGTTCATCATGTAGATATGTATCATCCTAATGAATAATCTTCTCAAACATGTTTCACAGCAAAAAAGAAAAATCCAAGATCAATCATTCGAAGTTCTTGCTACCCATATATTTCATCTCTATCATGAAGACATATAGAAATATCTAATATGAAAAATCCATCTCACATAACATGCATACCTTGCATACATATTCACAATACTCAACAATTTTTATGAAACTTCAGATGCATCATTTCATGCACGAGTATACACAATTACGCATGCAGAAGCGTGTTACCTACATACATATGAGCTGAAAACGCGTAACTTATGGGGTGCTCGAGGCGTACGTAATATTAGAAACTTCCCTTGTTTGCGTAGCACGCGTGACCGTCCCGAAACGATACTGTTTCAACCGTTCTTGCTTTCTATGTTAAGTTTAACTTTGTCTAGTGCCTCGAGCAAGGGTTGTTCTTCAAACAGAATCAGTCACAGAGTATCATCATCAGGACTATCATCATGAGTGTGTACGTTACCCTTTCAAACAAACTTTTCTATTTCAACAATAACATTACAGTGCCCTAGAACTCTTTATTTTCCCTCCAAGATCTTCTTACACTATCTTGAGCATAAATTTGTTAGAGCTATTATTAACATGATCCAATCTGAGTCTGGTGCTATCAAGGTATTGTATTGCAATTCCTTATACAAAGAGCAACTGTTCTGATCAATAGCAAACAAAAGAGTAAGTGAATCATGTTTATCAACCATTACACCAAGGATTGGAAGATTTAAAAGATTTATCTATTTATTGTTAGAGATCACTTTTGTCAAGTAAATCAAATCTGAGCAAGTAGTTTATCAATGAATTAAATACACTGATTTGAGTTTAAGCTGAACTTGAGCTTTTCAAAATTTCCGCTTGAGCTTATGTTGCTTCACTCTGTTAATACGATAACGATGGATTGAGATTCGCTGTTGTTGTGAAGTAAGTCTTGAGAGTGATAGAAAATAAAAAGTTAGGGGTCGACAGAGGTTGGTGGTAGAAATAGCTAATCCTCTAGTAAGGTGCTTGAACTCGATACACGCCAGTACAAAGCTTTCTCTTGCCTACTTCGCACACGTTAGCATATTCATTACTTGCCACTTAGTTAAGAGCTTTAAGCTGAAGACCCTAATGACTTCTTACTCACTTGTGGGATCAGCACTATTAGGTTCGCTTGAGTTTCATTCTCATATATACACAATTGATCTTTTTCTTTTCTTATAACTTCTTCTAAGTAATCTATACACTTATAAGTATTTTATATTATTTTTATTGCTCTTGCACCAATTTATCTTCCTTTTATTCGCAAAAAATAGAACGATATTTGTTCCCATAATGGAACAATAACTAATCAACAGCTATCGTTCTCAATTTTAAATGAAATGGAGAGCACATGGCAGTGATAAAAGTGAACATTTTATCACTCGGTGGAGGATTTGTTTACTCGACAGTTATTTCATTGTGAATTATTGATTTTTAGTTGATAATAGAAGTTTTAATGAACTTTTAAGGTTGAATGAGTTTGAAATAATTTCGGAAATTGAATAATAAAAATAAATGAAAAATATTAAATTCCACAAGTTTAGCAAACTCATTAAGATAATCTTTACTGCCAAATTACTTATAATGAAGATTGAAATTTGACAAAGTAATTTGCACGAGTAGAGCACATGAATGTGATGGTAATAAGAAGATGTACAATAATAAGAAGCTATAGAGATAATAATAATAAGATGCTAAAGAGGAGAATAAAAAGAATCCAAGAAGATCGGTTAGAAATCTGGTATCTCGTTACAACCGTGGACAGGATACTCGGTCGCTTTACTTCGTGCCAAGCTTTTAATTTATTCCCACCTGAAAATCAAGAATCTTTCTTTTCTTTCTGTTTCTTCTTCTCAAACCCCACGAGGTCTTTTCTCGATACCCATGCACCTGCATACAAGGTGTCCTGATTTAATTCTTCACTTGATAAATTATCACTCGTCTACTTTTTTGTTTTCTCCTCATCTACTTTACATATAATCACATTTTTTACGCATATATAAATATTTAAATATACTTGAGATTAGTACATTCATCATTAAAATTGAGTATCAGGTGGAACCTAGGAAGTTGGTTAATCAGATTACACCAATTATCGTAGAGTACGATTGCAGACAATTCTCTATGAATACTCTTGTCATATATTATGAATGAAAGCTTGGTCTCTCTACCGATTAAAATCGCTTAAGAAGCTTACAAATAGATGAGAAAAAATCGAGAATATGTTTCAAATTTCTCATATATTTTCTTAATCCCTCTTAATATTTTACAGATTAAAATTAATGATGTTTAAATAGACTTAAAAATATAGATTTTGCTTTTTTTTTTACTTACACAAAAATTTATTATATTAATTATCAGCTTGTGTTGAATATTTGGAATAAAAATTTCCTAGATGATTGATACATAAAAATAATTAGCATTAAAACATTTAATGTTTTTTAAATTATTTAAGATATTTTTAAACGATTAACTATAAGTTAGTAGGACGCCTGTGGTGACTTGGTTTCGTTATAAATTGTTGGACATGCTTGAGTCGTTATTAAAAGTCGAGACAATCACGACATACCATCGATCCAACAAAAGTCAACCTTTAAAATGCTGCAGCCTCATTATAAATATTTCAGTAGCAACGAGATTTCGAAGAAGCGAGAATCTGCTTCAATTTGTTTCGTTGGAATAAGTTTAACGAGACAGACGTAAAAAAAATTCAAATAAAAAACTGTAAATAAAAGAATTTAATGAATTAAAAATAAATAAATAAATGAAAAATAAAATAAAGAAGAAAGAAAAGAAAAGTAAAATCAACATGGTGAGATATACAGGTATCGGTCAATATATTTGTGTCAGGAGTTAAGACGAACAAGAGGAGCATACGAGAAAGAAGAAAGATAGAAAAATAATTCACAATAAGGAGTGAGTGAAGTGTGCATATATATAAGAGAATGTTGCATGAGCGGTGAATATGCTGAATTGTATATTTTCTTTCTGACTTCTAAAAGTCGGAATAAAATATATCTAAAATAGTGTCAATGTGCCACTGACCTGGCTTATCATTTTTACGATGATAAATACTTTGATATTTCTACGCCTCTATATATAATAAACACTAATGCTGTAAGTTAATAGCAATAAAAAGTTGTAATCAAAATCTTTTAATACCTAATAATTTATATATTTTATTACACCAATTAATTCATGTCGCCATTACATTTATTATTTTTAGATTTTATATTACACTTATTTTGCATTAATTCGTGAAATAAAGTTATTTTTTCTCAATCAAAATGGACGATTTTGAAAGTAGAACAATCCTTCAATTTATCCGATAAACGTTTGTATGTGGATATCTGCAGGACTGATTATAAT